TGAGGTAAGCTCCCGCTAGTTCTTCTAATTTCTAATTTTTAAATAGTTTGACATCAAATTCCAATTTTTTTTTTAACACTGGAAGCCTAAAGAAAAGTATGGTTTTATATCTTCACAGAACAATTCTTCTTAAAAACTGAGTGCACATGCAGTTCATATGCACACGGCCCTCTCGATCTTACTAGTATAGTTTTCATTATTTATTACAGAAGCAATCACTGTACTACAAAGTTACAAGTCAAATAGTCCAGAAACACAAACACACACAGACCCATTTCATTTAACTGCTGCCTCCCCTTTAGGCTGCTTTCAACACTCTGAACAGAGTTGCACCTTGCAAAAAAGTGAAGTTCTGACCAAAAGTTCAGATGCCGAGTAGAATCAGAAGCTGCAAACACATGTCCTAGATAACCTGCAATTAGAAATGGAAAAAAAATTGACTATGTATCCAAGTGTCCAAGTGACTATGTATCGAACTCACATTGACTATGTATCCAACTATCCAAGTGTCACATAGAAGCTTCTCTGAGGTCCAGGTGTATGCAAATTAGCTTGCTTTTTCTGGGAATATGACTGGTTAAGTACAGAATTCGTTGGAAACACAACTTCACAAACTAGAAATGACAGTCTCAATCGCCTCTCTACAACATTAACATTCTTTCAGTTCTGATTGTGGACTGCAGCCTGAAAAAAATTACTTACAGTGGAGCATGTGATTGCATATGGGTGCATATTTAGCATATTCACTCTTACGGAATTAACTGAATCACCATCTAATTATCGGATGCCTTGACCCTGAGTGCTTAAACCTCATACTTGATCCTTGCCAGAGCATATCTATAAATTATTGCAATAAGGCCACAAACTTTAGAGCAGAGCACTCACGCTGCCGTACCAAATGAATTCGGTTAACAGAGGAAACTTCTCTGACATTGCCTGAGGAAGGAAGAAACAGGAGAGAACAAACTTCCATGGTCTATCTTGCCTGTGAAATCAAACAGATGTTTTATGATCCCTGGTAGCAATGTGTTGTGTACCCTTTTCAGAGGATAAGGAAACAAGGCAATCCTACTGTGACTGGATTTTTACTTTTCTAGAAAGGAAAATAGGGATATTCAACTGCCATTAATATTTATCTCAACAAATTATGACAATAGCAGACTTTCACCCTGAAAGCAGTAAAACAAGGCAGCCTGTGTCTCTTTGCTCTGAACTTTACACATCCAGCACTGTCTCTCTGCAGGAATAGGCAAGCCAGGGGATGTGGGAAGGGAACAAATGCAATGGAACGCACATTCTCAGAGCCGCCTTCCCTCGGCGTCTGTGCAATGAGAAATAACCAGAAAGTGGGGGGGGGAGGGGAAAAAAACCGTGAGTCACCACTAGTCCACTTGGGACAGAGAACATGGGAAGAAAGCACTTCTTGATAACTGGAGGGGAGGGTCAAATTCTTTGTGTATGTGTGTAAAAACCACTGCACATTTGGCTTTGCAGAAAACTGCAAAGAAATCCAGCTGACTTTCACAATGTATGCAGGGTTGGTAGATGATCCTGTGTGAATATAAACATTGTGGGGACAGATTGTTATCATACTCACCATACTGGTCCTATTTTTTTTCCTAAAAGACACTCCATGTGTTGAAGGCATACAGTGCACTTTTACTTTGTACCTACAATGTGCCTGTAAACATATCGAGTGTATATGTCTTTTTATTTCCACAAGCATACACACAAAAAGCATATGTGTAGGAATGGGGGCCAGAGTGTGCTGTGGCCCTTCACAAGCTGTTTCTGTGAAGTCCATAAGATACATTAGACACACACACACACAGAGAGAGAGAGAGACGTCCCAAACATATTGAGTTACAAGGGGGTACATGCCAATGTGTACTTGCTTGATATAAAAAGTGGCCTGAAGAGAATCAACTATTCCTTAGGAGAATTGACAACAAATTTAATGGATGGAGATACGAAAATCACACTTAGTTTCTGAATTCTTCAGATAAAAAGAAGCAAAAAAAGAGAGGCCATGTTCAGATAGGATCTGCTTCCCCACACCATACCTGGGACCTGCAAACTTCCTTTCACTTTCCTCTCTCAGCTCTCTCATCCCTTCAGTAGAGGAAATAAATGACCAAACCCAAGGAGATTCAGTGGTGTGTTTTTGACCCGAATGTTGGATGACCTTGACCCAGGAGATAAAACCTTCTTTATGGTTGCAGGATTAGTGAAGATTCCATCTTCAAATAAATAAGGGCTCTTCAAACTTATTATTGACTTCTATCCTTAGGATTGGGGAAGGGAGCATGACAACCTGAGGTCCATAAGCAATCTTTTCACACCTACAAGTCTTTGGAGAAAATACTGTTTGAACAGGACTGCAGTGTGGCTAAATTGCAAACAAAAGATGTAAGTAGTATATCGCAGTTCCTTTTAAGACATGCTCCAACAAATGCACTGAGATCTATTATCATAAAAAGGAAGTGTAGTACAATGATTATTATAATGCTGATGTAGAAGACCCAGATTCAGATTCCAACTTAATCAACCTTGTAGAAGTGTTGTGAAGATAGAAGTGGACAAGGAAAGAAATATGGATACTACCCTGAGCTCCCTGGGGAACAAGTGAGGCACAAATGTGGCCAATAATAACTTCTTTAAAAAAGCGATTAGAAGCCGCTGTACATAGTCACAGAAGCTTTTGCAGAATTGGCAGGCAGAATCAAACAATAAAGATCAAAGATCTTGGCTATAGATCAGTGTTTCCCAAACTTGAGTCCCCAAATGTTGTTGAACTAAAATTTCCCGACATATTCACTATTAACTGTGTGGACCAGGATTTCTAGGAGTTGTAGCCCAAGAACATATCAGGACCCAAGGTTGGGAACCCCTGCTCTCAATCAATTCTTTAAACCTCAGGGATATTTGGACCCTGTATACTGATTTAGTTAACTCATGTAATGAATGCTGTCAGCAGGTATGTAAAATGCCACTGTTTTCAATATGAAGGATGTACTAAAGAACCAGTAAAAAGTGGTTCTCCTCACCTACATATCGGGGACCAGTCAGAGATCTATTGCAGCCTGTTCTTTGACCTTACTATGGCACAAAGATTGCTTTGGTCTCCTTGTTGAATGATTTATGGCAAGAACTGGACAGAAGGAGTATGTTTATGACAATCCAAACAAGAGAGAGGTTCTGCTGGTCTGTTGAAAGGCAGCGAGTCAACCAAGGAATAGGGAGTGAGTTTGTGGTGGATGGGGTTGCACTTCTGAAGTCCCAAGGAACACAGTTTGGGTGTACTCCTGTATCCTGTGAACGCAGATGCCTGCGTTTCAGTTGTGACTGTGAGTGTCTTTGCATATTCAAGGCTGGTGCACCAAATGACAGCCATTCCTGGAGATAGTGGATCTGGCCAGAGTGATCCGGTAGTCTGACTGGACTCCTGTAATGTGTCCTACATGGGTTTCCAAAAGTTTTTGGAAGCTTTGCCAGCTCTAGGGCATTGTGCCCACCCTGTTGACTTTGGGGGGGGCACTGAACCTTTTATTCCAATGTTTTTACTGGCTACGATTCAACATGCTGGTTATGACCTATAATGTTCTATGGGCCTCGGGTACTTGAAAAGTCAAATTCTCCCTCATGCACTTGCATGAGCTTTATATTCTTTGGCAGATGCTCTTCTCTTGGTCCTGCATCCCTTGAGGTACACTTGGCAGGAACACAAGAGAGCCTTTGGATATTCCTAATCATGTGAGGCCAGTCCAGAACCCTCCTCCCCAACTGTATTTCTGCCAGTAGGCAGACTTTTTTTTATCCAAACAGATCTTTGGCATCTAATCTGGATTAGAGGCCACTGTTTCTATTAATGTGTTTGTATGGGTCACTTTGTTTGTGTTTGCACTTTGCTGTTCTTAGCTATGCCATGTATCATTTTTAAGTCAGAAGGGTAAGGTATAACAATAACAGCCTTATGTGCTTTTTAATTTCATACTGCTTTGGATACCCAAATACTCCATGTGACACTAATTTCTGAATTGTTCGTGGATAACCAGGCCGTGCAAAAGTTCCATATCTAGGGCTTGCACCAATTATCATAGATCTCTCTCTTTATTTTTTTACATGTCTTTTTCACTCTCTTGGTCAGACATTTGTCTTCCAAAAGATAGTGAACCCAGAATAAAATCCACATCTTGCTCTCCACATAAGAGCAACAATGTTAGCCAGTCAGTATGACTGTTACAAAGTGTAAATCCAGAGGGCTTAATTTCCTAACACATAAAAGGAAGGGGAATGTTCATTAAGAAAATAATTGCCCACTTAGGGTAAACCAAAATCTGACATCAGAAAAACCAGCACCCTGTTTCCAAAAGCAGGCAGGTGCTTTTCTGGAAGGTCAAAAGCATGGCCTAAAGGCAACAAGCCTCCTCTTCCTCTTTAACCTCCCCTCCCACCTCACCCTGCATTATTTGGTCTTGAGAGGGAGGCTCCCAGTCTTGAACATGGAGCTGTCATTGGTGCCCATCTTCTTTGTGAATATGTCTAATAATTCCTAAAGTCATCTAAAGCAGTAACTATCCTTACACTGTGTGTCAGCGAATTCTATACATCAATGGCAACCTACATAAAGCAGCACTAGGCGCACAAAGGTAAGCAACTTGTCTTTCTTCTTCTTCTGGTTCTAAATTTACACTTAATTACACACGAAGACCCCAAGATCACGTGTGCGTGCATACAGTCCTTTCTGTAGACTCCTGCCTTGTTATAGAAGTGCTCCTAAGTAACTCCTCACATGCCCATCTTCCTAGAACTGAAAGACCCAACCCAAGAACGGTGGAAGATGCTGGCTCTTGCTTAAGGAAGCTCTCTAGACATGCTCAGAGGCCCCGTCTTCATGGTACACCTCACGTTTATGGGTTGGACCCAGGGCCTGAAAAATCTACGCCCGGGGGCCCTTTACTCTTTCCTGAGATTGGCCTCCGCCGGTCCTGCTCCCTTACCTGGATCTTCCTCTTCTCGCAGGCCGGCCCGGTGCCTTGCACCACGCTGTCGAGCACGGTCACCAGGCGGGCGTCGGGCGCCACGAAGCACGAGTTCCTGGCCACCCGGATGGCCTCTTCGATCTCCGCGAAGCGGAAGACGCACAGCGCCGAG